AAAAAAAAAAAAAAAAAAAAAAAAAGTGTAAAAAAATTTAAATAGATGTCTGAAGAAAGGGTAAACACAATGGTGGTAGCAATATTTCTAATGGGCCTTTTGCTCCAATGTGGTTGGGCCCATTCAACAAGCTACACAGTCGGAGATTCAACGGGCTGGGTCTTCGGTGTAGCGGGCTGGGAAAATGGCAAGAACTTTACTGCTGGTGACACACTAGGTACCCAAAGAATGTTGTGTGTATCATAGCAATGTTTATAGAAATAAATAGGATAATTAAAGAATGAGTTTTATTTTTTATACTTATTTTATTTTTATGGTATTTAATAATTCTATATTAATCAATAAGTTTAAATACATTATTTTAAAATTCGCAATATCGAACGTTTTTCAATTATAATAATTGACAACGACAGAATTAGATTTTCTTCCAGTTGGATTCGTTGGAGTTTTTATTCCAACTACGAAGGCGTACCATCACAACATCCTACGAACGTTCGTTAACCATTGAAAACAGAACTGACAATTAGTCATGGCAAAAAACTAGTAGTACCATAGTTATTATTCATATGAATTAATAATGAAATGAATTTAGAAAACTACTCGTAGTAATAAGTTTTATATTGAATTTTTTTCGTATCAAGTAAATAGAGTTATTTAGGATATATTATATTATAAGGATAAATATTTCAATAATTTGTATATAATTCCATCTTAGCCCAAGATACCTATTTTAGTTTGATTATTACTAATATTTCTACCATTTAATGATTAAATTAACCATATTCTATCTTTGAATCTTGGCAGTTTTCAAGTATATGGCAGCAAGACACAATGTGGTGGTTGTGGACAAGTCAAGTTATGATTCTTGCACAGTGCCTCCAAAGGCAAAGATATATAATTCTGGGAGTGATGTGTTATGCCTAACAAAGGGGCCTAATTACTTCATTTGTGGGGTTCCTGGCCATTGTCAAGCTGGGATGAAAATAGCACCAATAGCAGCTTAAATTTAGTGTCCCTATTATTTAAATTTGGTTGTGGTAATTGCTTACAATTTTGAATAAATAGTTATTTATTTTTCTTAGATTCCAATTTTTTTTTAGTTATTTATAAAAAAGATTACAATTGAAAAGAATAAACAATTTATTGCAAGCCTCAATAACATGTTACTAAAATGATAAGATTAATGACCCCCAATCAAATTCAAACCACTATAAAATATTTAAAGAAACCCGAGTAACTTATTTATAAATTATTAAATTATTGAAAATTATGAAAACGTTGTAGAAAACGGAAGTGAAAACGTTCAGAAAGCTATTGTACATCAACTCCCACTCAAGTAAGGTAGTATTCATAGTAACACTTATATGACTAATATGCTCGTGAATTACCACAAGTGTTAATACCTTATTATACCTTAATGGAGTCATGAATTTGCTAGCATAAATTTATCCTTATATGCTCAATAAAAATCAATATAATTTTTATCCTTGTCAACAAGAAACTTGATGAACAGTTTCGTTCCTTGGAAAAAGGTAAAATGATATTATCACAATAGAACTTGTTGACAGTCGTTTTTGCCAACAAGATTACGAAGTGATAATATGCTATATTTGGAGAATATTGTTTGGATTTAAATGAGTCAGAAAAAAGAGATTAGAACAACGAGGTAGTCGACAAAGTAGGTATTCATGTTAATACGCTTGCACCGAAACTTATTGAGGAATTTGGATTGCTTTCAAACCTCTTATAACATTTACCTCATGCAGGCTATTGTACCAATAGTAGAGTATTTGTAATGTTTTCTGATTTTTTCCATAAGAAACTCGCGTCCTTCTAAGCATCGAGGGACGACTATTTACAAAAGGGGGATGTTATACCACAAATACTCGAACCGCTGGACCGCTCCTCTCGAACCGGGTTGCGTCTCCCTGATCGTTGGTACCTGCAAAGCACGCCGGGGGTGGTCCCGGCGCGAACACT